CAAAACCCCATCAGTTCTATAGCTTCAAAAAGCTTACACATATATTTTCACAGCTTGGAGACGTTATAAACCAACTTGCCCTTCTGCTAGGACAAATCTGTTCTTCTGCACTGAAAACCCAGAATTGATATCGGATTCTATTCATGGCCCCTGGCCTGTTTTTCTGTAGGTCGTGAAGTATTTACAAGGTTGCATTTTTATCATTGAGCACCACAGGTATCCTGCTGGACACTTCAAGTCATATATGTTTTGTTAAAAATGGTATTTTTTGTTCTCTATTTCAAATAACTTCTAGCCTCTTAAAAAAACACACTTCATAGAACTGAAACCTCACATCTATTTCACATTTATTTTAAAATCTAAATTCCCAAATGAAAGTAATATATTAGTCATCTTTATGACAACTGTTCGTCTGCATAGAGCATGCTGGCCTTAACCAGAACGTTTGGCAAAACATATAATTCACTTCAGCATCCCAAAAGAGGGAGGAAAAGATTATGATCAAAATTAAGTAATATAGAAACATAGAAGATAGGAGCAGGAGGCGGCCTTCGGCCCTTCAAGCCTGCTCCACCATGCTTCACTATCATGGCTGATCGTTCAACTCAATAGCCTAATCCTGCTTTCTCCCCATAACCTTTGATCCCATTCAGCCCAAGTGCTATAGCTAGTCGGCTCTTGAATACATTCGGTGTTTTGGCATCAACTACTTCCTGTGGTAATGAATTCCACAGGCTCGCCACTCTTTGGGTGAAGAATTGTCTCCTCATCTCTGTGCTAAATGGTCTATCCTGAATCCTCATATTGTGACCCCTGGTTCTGGACATACCCACCATCGGGAACATCCTTCCTGCTTCTACCCTGTCCAGTCCAGTTAGAATTTTAAGTCTCTATGAGATTCCCCCTCATTCATCTGAACTCTAGCAAAAACAATCCAAACCTAGTCAATATCTCCTCACACATCAGACTCACTATCCCTAGAATCAGCCTGGTAAACCTTCACTGCACTCCCGAGAGCAAGAGCATCATTCCTCAGAAAAGGAGGCCAAAACTACACACAATATTCTAGGTATGGTCTTACCAAGGCCCTGTATGACTGCAATAACACATCCCTACTCCTGTACTCAAATCTCTCACAATGAAGGCCAATATACCATTTGCCTTCTTAACAGCCTGCTGCACCTGCATGCTTACCTTCAGTGACTGGTGCACAAGGACACCCCAGGTGTCGCTGCATACTCCCCTCTCCCAATTTACAGCATTCAGGTAGTAATCTGCCTCCTTTTTTTTGCTTCCAAAGTGAATAACCTCACATTTATCCAAAATTATACTACATCTGCCATTGATTCACCCACTCACTCAACCTGTCAAGATCACGCTGAAGGATCTCTGCATCCTCATCACAGTTCACCCTCCCACCCAACTTGGTATCGTCTGCAAACTTTCCATCATCCAAATCGTTTATATGTACTGTGAATAGCTAGGGTCCCAGCTCCAATCCCTGTGGCACCCCACTAGTTACTGCCTGCCAATTTGAAAATTCCTTCTCTTTGTTTCTTCTCTGCCAACCAGTTTCTTACCCATCTCAATACACTTTCCCCAATTCCATGCACTTTAATCTGCTGACATTCATGGTCTCTGGATAACTGAAGGTATTAGAGAGTTGACACCATTGCTACCGTAAAACTATCCTTGCAATTAGCAAGGTAGATTAATTGGAGAAAAGACAATTCAGCCATAAAATCTAACATGGAAGATTTAAGAAGCAATTTGCAATGGATTTTGACTTTGTGGTAATGTATTTTTATGTACAAAGTTGGTCTCCTGTACATAGAGGACAGACTATCTTTAGTTTGATAAATAATTAAGGTCTAAAAGATAAAATGTAATTATTTTTCTGGTGACTCTTGACACTAAAATATTTAAATGGTAATATCAAGCTCTTAAATTCATTTCACAGACCATAAAACCAGTACTCATTCTATCAAAACCTCTCATAATAACCCAGAATCTAATGGCAAACAGAATTCAAATTGTTAAATCCTTGGCAGCTGCAAAGACTAATCATCCTATCAATTACAGTAATATGTCAAGTGTAAACCAAATCCTAGCTTGACCCCAATCAGCCATGTTAGCTGATTCAGGATCTTCTATTTGCTGTTACTCTAAAGAATGCATTCAACACACAAGACAAGGGCTGACTATAATTGTCAATTTGTTCATTTATCACAGCAATCAAGAGTCAAAAGCTATGCTTATTTTTTACAAAGGGAGGAATGGAATCACATATTAATCCTGGCCTTTAATGTAACACTATTCATTCCCTACATTAAGCAAGGGCTACGATGATGCAAATATTCATACTTAAATAGTGTTCTCAGAGCAGAGCAAACAAATCCATATCACAATAATATGAATGGAATGTTAACTATAGTACCTCATTATGTTTTTATGAATATAGCCATAGATTCAAAACTTGCAAGATATCATATCCTAAATAAGTAAAAACATTTTCATCATTTGTAAATTGATTATCCATGTAATTACACAAGTCAGAAATGACAGTTACCCACATACACATGAAACACTAGAATATTGTTAGTTGGATTTAAAAATAAACGTTAATATGACAATGACCGATTTTTCTGTAGCAGTGCAACTGACTACATGTTCAAAGCACTAAAATTTTATTTGTTATGATCCCAGCTGACCAGTCAATCCTGATCCCAGAATGAAACATTGCTTGAAAATGTTATACAAGAAGTCTGAATTTTGTTACCCTTTTACTATTGTTTTGCTTCAATGTCATTATGCAATCAGGACCAGAAATCCTATTGAACAGCACAGGATTCAAATGTCGTTGCTTGCAGAAAATGACAGATCAAAACCACTGGATCAACGAAACCAAGGTGATGGCCTCCTGCAGTGCCACAACAATGCCACCCGAAGGTTGCAGGAACAGCAACTCATATTCCGCTTGGAAACCCTGCAGCCCAATGGTATCAATGTGGATTTCACAAGTTTCAAAATCTCCCCTCCCCCTACCGCATCCCAAAACCAGTCCAGCTCGTCCCTGCCTCCCTAACCTGTTCTTCCTCCCACCTATCCCCTCCTCCCACCTCAAGCCGCACCTCCATCTCCTACCGACCAACCTCATCCCGCCCCCTTGACCTGTCCGTCCTCCCTGGACTGACCCATCCCCTTCCTAACTCCCTACCTACACTCACCTTTACTGGCTCCATTCCCGCCTCTTCGACCTGTTTGTTTCCTCTCCACCTATCCTCTCCTCTATCCCTCTTCTATCCGCCTCCCACTCTCTCCCTATTTATTTCTAAACCCCCTTCCCCTCCCCCTTTTCTGATGAAGGGTCTAGGCCCGAAACGTCAGCCTCTCTGCTCCTATGATGCTGCTTGGCCTGCTGTGTTCATCCAGCCCTGCACCTTGTTGTCTCGGATTCTCCAGCATCTGCAGTTCCTACTATCACCTGTCTAGGTATTATTTTTGCACATGCATTTAGCTAGTTAGCTATCCCTGTTTCTCTGAAATATTTTGTAACATGAGGTCTGATCTACAGACAACCCAAGGATTATGATGTGAGGATCCTTTGTTCCACTGGCGTCAAGTCATTGCAAACATGAAGGGAAATAAAGGTTAAACAAGGAAGACACAGTATTTACATAGAATTGATCCTGTGGTTGAAGAAATCCTTTGTCTGATCCTTTACCTCTCTGTGGGAAGTCTGGTGAGAAGGGAACGCTATCGCACTTGATAGGGTTCTTGCCTGATGACAGTGGATGTTGAACTCACTGTCATTTATTTTTCACAAAAAGAAAATCGATTGTTATCATATTACTGTTTGTGGGAGTTTGCAGTTTACAAATCGGCTGTTGTTTTACATTACAATAATGATAGCAGTTTGCATTGCAACCAATGATATACTTGTAATTTGAGACGTCCTGAAAGTGCTATGTAGATGCAAATAATTTATAGCTGTACAAAATGAAGAACAATCCATGTTCTCTCACCGAGATGTAGTGAATGACTGAAACACAATGGCTTTGACCTGTCAAAAAGCTAGATACTGCAGACACTGGAAACCTAGATAAAAAGAAAATGCTGAAAATACACAATAAGTCTGTATTTCCAGCATTTTCTGTGTTTTTTTTTATTTTGACTTCTAACAATTTTTCAGTTTTTCCGTAAAGATGCACTTGACGTGCAATGTGTACAAGTACACTATGGAAGGTTGAAACTGTGTTTTCATTTTGGTTATTTTTAACACAGGATGTGGCTCTCTGTGGTGTTTTGCTATATTTATAACTCATATTTGCAATGTGCATTTACTGTTCATGTCAAAACAATCTCTGCAGCCTGCCATTCAAGAAATTTTGCACAGGTTTCAACCCAAGAATATAAAATAATGGGAGGGTACAATTGTTTGTTTAACACCCTTCTTCCGGCTTTCTTGTTTTAAGTTTCTGCTTTAGTGATTCAGAGGCGAAGGCTGGGAACATGGGTTTATCCCACCACAGAACTGGTGGTCAAAGTTCCTTTAACTTCCAACACCTCTTCAATTAACAAAAGAAAATAAGTTATTGACAGAAGTACTGCTGTGCTGAGTTCTCCTCTAAACTTGATTCTTATAAACTGCCCACAAATATCATGACACAACCTACTTTTCAATCTATAGAAATGTAGCATTTGTAATCTTTCTCAGTTTAAAGTCAAATAGACATTGAAATTTGATTTACCTTGTTTCTTTTTGTTCTTTGTGGTAACACCTGATCCTTGTCCTTTCACCTCTGCTTACTCCGTAAGTAGCGAGAAACAGTTGATGTGAATTAATAGACGTGATATTGTACACTCTGAACTTTCTTCTAATCCTTATAATAATTTTGACTGAAGTGAAAGCCAATATAGACTTCATAATGAATAATTACTTTTTAATTGTCAGGTCAGTGTCCCCTTCATAAAGATGAAAACTGCATTCTGTGTTTCAGATGTAAGAGGTCCACTCACACATAGGATATCATGTGGAAAATCGCATCATGGACGTGCAATATGGAACACCAAATTTTGTGTTGTCACGGATGGTCAGTTGCTATTGCTGGACAAAGAAGAGGTATGTGGAAGTTTACTTTATGATAAAAGATGATGTGATGTTGTGAATGTAACATTACACTTGTATTCTATTAATATTGTTTTGGTTTTTTTTTTGGCCTTCTTATACAAGGAAGGATGTTTTGGCTGCAGAGGTTACCAGACAGATTCCTGGAATGGCAGGACTGATGTAGGGAGTGAGACTGGGATCAGTTAGGATTGTATTCACTGGAGTTTAGAAGGATGAGGGGTGATCGCGTAGAAACCTGTAACATTTTAACAGGACTAGATAAGGTAAATACAGAAAAGATACTCCTAATGAGCAGGGAGTCCAGAACCATGAGTCACAGTCTAAGAATACAGGGTAGGCCATTTGGGACTGAGACAAGGAGAAATATCTTCATCCAAAACATGGTGAGCCTGCGGAATTCTCTGCCACAAAAAACAGTCGAAACTGCTCCTATGATGCTGCTTGGCCTGCTGTGTTCATCCAGCCCTGCACCTTGTTGTCTCGAAATCAAAACATTGACTGTTTTCAAAAAGCAGATAGGTGTAGTTTATGGGACTAAAGGTGTTAAAGGGTATGGGGGAAGTGGGCACAGGGTATTAAGTTGGATGATCAGTCATGATTATATTGAATGGTAGAGCAGGCTTCTAGGGCTGAATGGCCTATTCCTCCTATTTTCTGTGTTTCGGTCATAAAAGACCACCCCTTTTTCTTTATATTTTTGATTGTGGACTGAAATGGAGAAAGAATTATCTTTTATAAATAGCAAAGTATTGTGGAAGGGATTGCTGTAATTTTTAAAAATAGGTTACCAAATTCATTTCACGTCATGTGTACACTGCTGCTGGTTAAAACAGCCGGGGTTGTGTGTGTGGTGTGTATATGTATGTACATCCATCTGTGGGATGTGTACAAGGAGATTTGGCTGGCAACAAGTAGCTGATTTGTTTTGTAGAGTCCTGACACGTTAAGTATGACCAAGGCTGTCAGTCTAGCAACAATCTGATAGGCTCCTGGGGAGCTGAAAGCCTTGTGGCACGAGTGATGCTGGCAGAAGTCTTTGCACTTCTGAAAGGGTAGGTGATCTGTGTCTTTCTCTCCAATAAAATACCTAAAGCGTGAAGAAAGCCAGTTTATTATCCCTCACCAGCTCTTGTAAGCTGTGGCTTTAAGCAGTAACTAAGAGATTTTGCAGTTGGTATTCTAATCACCTGTGCCTCCTTAAAGAAGAGCGCTTTTGAAGAACAATTAGTCCTAGCAAGCAAAAGGATCATCTTGGTGAATCCTGTGACCTGGGGCCATTCAATTGCTTTCTCAGTTCGACCCCTTCACCCATAGCGCTTTTATTTGAGCAGGCGCGCGCGCGCGTGTGTGTGTGTGTGTGTGTCAGTTTTATATAAGCGGGTTACAGTTTAACAGGTAGAATTATATGTCGACGCTTCATGGGTGTTTATTATAGATAGAATCTGTTTATCTTTAGTAAAAAAAATACTTTAGGCACAGAAAACTGGCCTGTATTTTCTAATGGCCTTGTTCTACCTGACAGGAAGATTGGGGACTTAATATACATTGAACTTTTCAACTTTTGTGATGAATAGTGGGGCTTGGTTTCCAGTATGCTACCCCAGTAAGCTGTGGCATTTTAAATAGTAAACTGAGCCCTCTGCAGATCAGGGGTTTCCAGACGCAATTGTTATTTTCAGCTGAACTAGTTGATCTTAGTGAGAACATGAGTTGAATTGCACTAATTTCTATTCTCGGATCAAGGAAATAAATCACGCTTTCTGTAACCCTTCTTGAAAAATATACAAATATTGATGTTGCATAAGAATAAATTCTATTATAATGTTCTCAGTTTTGCTGCTGTACTCTGACAAAATGGCAAGACTCATTTGACCTCTTTTGTATCATCACTTCCCTTTCTAAGACTTCCTGCACAACTTGCACGTGCTCACTGTTGTTATATAGCTGATTCTGAATGTGAGTAACGACTGTGAGTTAATGCTGGAGGACCACTGAAAGTCTGCTTAGCAGCAGTATTTGGATTTGAAAGTTGCAATTTGTCACAGACCTTAGACCTTAGAAAGGGTTGTTGAGCCCAAATCTCTGGAAAGCCTGCAAGCAAAGACCAGTCTCTTTCTTTGTCGTTCTGAGTAGAAAAAAATTATGTCTCTGGAAATGACTTTTAACTCGAGTAAGCACCTAAGATCAACTGACCAGCTACTGAATTGAGGGTCTGCAATTGTTCTGCAATTGAAAATTCTTAATATATTGTCAAAAGTCGATGAACTGTGTGGGGAAAGTCAATTAATTCCACCCTTGGCTTGGACTCTTCATCTACAGAATTTGTTCCTTTTTTTTGTCTATCTCTACTCGTGATATTTTTACAGAGCTGTTTGTCCTATTTATGAATGAACGTATGCATATTTGAGTTTAAAGGGGATATAGTTTCAATTTGCATAGCAATGGTTAATAATATGTTGTGCCACTTGTTAAAGGATAAGTTTGTTTGTAATTTTTTGTTAATTGGTAAAGCCCGGTGTGAGTTTCTTTTATCCCAGATAGCAGTCAAAGTCAGGCAACTTAACCAACTTGAGAATTCATTTACTCATTTATACATTTGTGACAGCTGTAGAGCAGTGGAGCTTGATTACCAGTGCATTCCTTCTACTCGGGTCACAGTGTACTTCTGGCCAAACTCCCATCTTCCATCCTGTATAAATTTGGCATCCAGACTGCCCACATCCCAACTCTCAGCAAGTCTAAGTAATTAATCACTCCTGTATTCACTGACCTTCACTGGCTCTTGGTTAAGAAAGGACTTTTTTTTTTATTTAACATGTTCTCATCCTTGTTTGCAAATCTCTCCATGGCCTTTATCCCTCTGTCTTTGCAACCTCTTCTGGTATTATGAATCTCTACGCTATAGTCACTCCCTTGATTTTAGCTGTTTATGTATCCCCTAATTGCTCTGTTACTGGCTGTGACTTTCACTGCCCTAACCATCTCTGTCTCTCTACTTATCTTTCCTCCTTTTTTAAGATCCTCCTTTTAAAACCTTCTTCTTTGATCAAGTTTTTGGTCTTCTCCTCTGTTAGTCCTTCTGTCTGGTGTCAGATTTTTTGATTTCTTTCATGATCAACATCTTGGGATGCTTTATTATGTTAAAGATTTTAAATGAAAACATTGTTTTAAATTAACATGCTGTTTGTTGTACGTTTCAGTGCTATAACTCCTATTTTAAGCAACTAATAATGTTTAGATTTTCATCTTTTATTTTAAATTTCCGAACTTGTGTGCAGGGATTTGTAGTAGCTAGGTCACGTAGGAAATACACTGCACTTATTTTTATTTACTTGCAAAATGGATCATTTGCAAGCAAAATGCCATCCTTAGTTGCATTGGTCTTGAATTTTAGCTTGTCTAAATTAACATGATCAAATTTTATAAAAATGTCTAATTTGAGTAGTGTCAGAAAATGCTAGATTTGTTGCACAAACGTTTGACTGCCTTTTGTTAGCAGTATCTTGCATGAAATTATAAGCAATGTTCTGAACCGAAATGGGCCATTCAATTTGATACCAGTAATTAATTATGCTTTGCACATGCATCATCCCACCCTTCTCTAACCCCTGACTACATACATGCTGTTTGAGTCAGTGACTGCTTATGGAGTGAGTTTCCTATTCTAATCACTATCTTGGTAAAGAAGTTTCTGCAGCATTCCTGATTAGATCTATTAATGATAGGTGCCATAATTCCCAGTCTGTTGATATACAGATAATCTGCCTTTCTGTCCTTTGCCTTTCTGTCCTTTGTATCAAAGTGGATAACTTTACATTTATTCACATTACACTTCATCTGCCATGTATTTGCCCACTTACTGAACTTGTTCAAAATGCACTGAGGCATCAATGCATTTTCCTCACGTTTGTTTCCTTCATCTAAATCATTAATATATATTGTGAAAAGCTGGGGTCCAAGCACTGACCCTTATGGAACTCAACTAGTCACTGCCTGCCACTCAGGCATAAATAGGGATTTTTCTATTCTTTGATTCCTGTCTGCCAGCCAGTTCTGTTCATGTCAGTACACTACCCCAAAACCCATTTGCTTTACCTTAATATGCTAATCTCACGTGGGATCTTATCAACACCCTCCTGAAAATCCAAGTAAACTGCATCCATCGCCCTCCCCCTTATTAACTGTATTTGTTGCATCCCCTCAAAAGTCTAATAGATATGTCAAGAATTTGATTTCCCTTTCTTATATAAATGCTTACTGAGTTCAATCCTGTCATTGTTTTCTAAGTGCTCTACTTTTAAATCTTTTATTATGGACTCCAGCATTTTCTCCAATATCAATATCAGGCTAACTGGTCTATTATTCGCTGTCTTCTCTCTCTTTATTAATAGTGTGATTGTATTAGCAACAGTTTGATCCATAGGAATTGTTCCAGAATTTTTATAGAATCTTGAAAGATGTCCACCAAGGCATCCACTATTTCTAGTGGCACTTCTTAGGATGTGGATTATCAGGCCCTGGGGATTTAGCTGCCTTTAATCTCAACTATTTCTGCAACACCATTTCCCTACTGATTTTCATTCAGTTTGTCCCTCTCTCAAGACCAATACTATATTCTCAGGAGCTACTGCAAAGGAACGTGTGGAGAATTTGGAGGTGGTGTTTTGGCCAGACCAGAACCTTCCCTCCCCCACCCGCCCACCGCAAATATGTTAAGAAAGTAGCCGAGATTTTTTTTTCCCCTTATTTTAAAGGTAACTGTAAGGTGCTGTGTTCCAGATGCAATTTGATCAGTCAAACTACTCAACGTTAAGCAAAACACTATTTGTTCATACAGTGTAGTTAAAATACAACAAAAGAATAAAGAAAGGAATTGACTTTTCTGTAACACTATTTGAATGTTTAACAAAATAATAGATACAGTAACTATTACTAATCAACTGTTCCAATACAGTAACATCACATAAACACACCTTTTGATAAAAGCCACA